ACATGTCGGACGACCACGTGTTCGCGCAAGTCCTTCTTCGAGGGCACCTTTCACCCTTAAATTGCACTATTTTCACTCGCGACATATAAAAATAATCGTATTTAAGTCGCGCACATATTTATTTTATTCCGCGGTCGGTCCGAACACTCGTTTCCTCGCTTTCGATTACTCATGGGTTTGCACCCCATGCTTTCCCTCGCGTCGCGTGGAGGTCGCCATTACCGAAATTTCGATTTTTATTTATAGATTTATTATTTCACCACCGATTTTTACAAAACTTCACCGCTCACTTCCCCCACGGTCTCCCCTCACTTCACAACATTATTTATCACACTTTAACCACTTTTTCCCACCAAAATTGAACTTTATCGCGGAGCGACCCCCGAACACGTGCGCTCGCCACGACAGCCAGCCGTGCTCCCTCACCGTTCAGTTATCTATTGTTGGCGAGTAGGGTCATGCATTCCTGGACACTTGTACAAAATGCTCCATAGCAAATCAAAATTTGTATGACTTGCTTAAGAAGAAGGGCATCAAACTCAAATACAAGAAGATGCAAATTGTGCTAGTGGACAAGCATCCACGCATATGGAATGTTTTAAAGACCGAATTAAACATTCGCCTACAAGAGCGTACGATGAAATCTACCTTTATCGAGTTTCTAGAAATCAAACATAACCGGAATCTGCTGGGGATGGATTTCATCGGTAATGCCAGAATTGTTTGGAATATCGCACAGCAAAGCTGGAAATTCGTTGATATACCGGAGACTAACTTTGAGTTTATTGAAGAATCGGAAATTGGGGAAATAACTTCGGACAAGGGACAGAAAAGGAAGCAGAAAGTGACTAACGCAATGGATCGGGAGGAAATCTAAGAACTGGCGAAATCGTCGTCATCGTTATTAAGCCCGATACAAGATGATCACGCCACCCTCGAACTATACCTCGAAAGCACCCCAGAGGAGCCGATGCAAATTTTCATCGAAAAAGCTCCAACCGAATGGCCTGGCTTCGACAAATTGTTCGATAAATGTCTTCGATCCTTTGAGAAAATGGTTTGACTAGAGATCAATGCGATCGAAATAGAAGAAATCAGAGAAGGCGAAGCATCGAACATCAGCACCGAAAGAAAAAGTACAGCAGCAGTAGCTGCTTCAAAATATGGACTGTTATTTCGTGCAATGAGATCATTCGCGGTAGAAGCAGTCGACCATAAAGAAACTAAAGACCACGCAGCAATCTCAGTACCTCCTCATCGCGTACCATCTGCGAAACGTGATCAACTCCAGAAAGAAGTTCAGAAGATGCTGGAGAGGGACATTATAGAAGAATGTGAATCACCCTAGGCTACTACTATTGTTTTGATACTAAAAAAGGATGGCAGAAAATGGAACACAATTTATTAGCGGCGTCATGCAGTAGGTCACACATTGTTTCGACATCCAACAGAACTTCACATCAGTATACCATCCTGAAGCCTATCCGGTAGAACGCAAAAACCGTGACTTGAAGGCTGTATACCTACGTGGGAACAGATCATACAACCTGGGACAAGAAGCTACCAACGATCTACAAGCTACCGGACACCTTTAATGAAGTCCGAGCACCAAAAGCTATAATCCGTAAATTCTTCTATGATTATTTAACATGAAACTTAGAAATTCGTAAATTTGATTTGAAACTTTGTGGTTTTGATTTTGTAAGAGCCTATGTACGTTTATATGAATAAATGTATTATTTTTTGGTTCAGAAATTCCTCAGTGTCCTTCTTAAGTTGTTACGCGCACGATCAAAATTACCGAAAATTCTCAAGATTTCGTACGCGCGACTCTACGGCTTTTTACGACGGTAGAGTTGGTTGATTGTTAATGAGGGTACACTGTTATCTTTTAAATGATGGTTTAATATTCAAAGCACTTAAACTAAATAACAAAAATGTCTGTGTTGTACTGTATTACCGGATTCGTGAATGTTAAAGTGAAATTGTTAAGATTGTAAAGTCTGCGTAATGTAAAAATGTTCTAAGTATAACTGTAGATTGTGCGGAGATTGATCTTTACTGTGTGATCAATATTCCGAGATCTTTACTGTTCGATAGTATGTTTTCGAGTTCTTTACTGTTAGAAAAAATGTTTGCGAGATCTTTACTGTTAGAAAGTATGTTTGCGAGTGTTCCTTCCAGACTTGTCCCGAAGAACGAAAACTATGGAAAATGGAAAAATGGGGAAACTGTCCTGATTGGCCTTGCTGTTTGTCAATAGTAATGCTTAAAAAAGGACACCACCCTACCCCGTGCGCCCTTAGCGCGATCCGTGCGGAGTACGGTGGGCCTTGTGGGGGTGTAAAGAGAAATCGGACGTAAGACAGAATTTCCGTTGGGTTGTCAACAAGGGGACCTGGTTTATATCTCCTGGGCCCTGTCCTCGGACCCTCAGGAAATTCACGTTTATGGCACTGGCAATTAGCTGTTGAGACCGTCGAGAGAACTTAGACATAGAAATCGTAAATCTAAAAAATACAAAAGACTCTCAAAAACAGCTCTGGTACTTGCATGCCATGAACGCGCTAGCAACGTGCAGGCCAAATGTTAGTCCAGTGTACAAATTGCTAGCTGCCTTCGTGAAAAAAACAAAGTCGTAAATCTAAATTTTCTAAAGAAGCTGTAGGAAACGCGATTTCTAATATGTACCGTGAAACATAAGTAGTTATCCTGCAATGAACAATCTTATCCTACAATATCATTTATTTAATTTTAACGTTTGATAAGCATTATATCTTACCGAATTATTTAGTAAAGTAGTTATTTGAATTATTCTTAAATTATTCTTATTCTTATTTTTATTCTTATACTTTAATTATAAAATAGTTATTTTAGTTATTTAATTATTTTTTCTTTGATAACTTACCGATATCTGTGGTATGTTGTTGTAACTGAGATTCAATACACGCAAAGGTATACCGTGCAAATACCAGTAATGCACGTTGTCATCAAATGTTTTGGCTGATTTAAAGTGTGGAAATAGTCCGTATAGTTCAAGGCGACTTGCCCGCAACCACTCGCGAAGAATAGGAATTATATCTTCAAATACTTGTATTTGATTTCGTCCCATATTTAAAACTCTCAATGAATTTAAGTTTTTAAACAGGGTCCTGTAATTTTCACAGTAAGATAAATTTATAGTAAGTAAAATCGAAATACTAAATTATGTTATTAATTATGTTATACGCGTGAATTCTTAACTCTCCAAATTTAATATATGGGTCTATTTTTTAAAATTCACTTTCATTTGTTTGAATAATAATTTTTCAATTATGAGAATTGAAAAAGAAATAAATTATTATTTTGCAAATTCCTCTTCAAGATCACAGTTTTAATAAAATAATTTTAAGAAAAAAAATACGTCGACTTCGAAATGCACTAAAAAGTATAAAATAATTTCTATTTCCTAATGAAGTAATTTCTATTTCATTCAATCATACAATTACGTAACAGATATGAATGAAACCTATTTACCCGTTAGGTAGTATATTAAATACATTTCAACCTTTTCGGAGGCGGCGCAAAATTAAAA